AAAGAGGTTACTTACCTGTAACTTTGGTTCTTCGAGTGGTACTCTGTGAATTCACACGGCCCGCCCGTCCTCCCCACTTTCCGTCACGGCTGTCTCGCCTTTAGAGCAGCAGCGGAATTTGGGGAACTGAATGGCTGTTAGGGCGGGCGGACCATGAGGTCCTAGGGGGGCGGAGCCAAAAGTGTTACTTTAAGCTCTAGAATGTTCCGAGGCCTTCTGCGCAAGCGCAGATTAACCCATTAGTGTGAATTCACAGAGTACCACTCGAAGAACCAAAGTTACAGGTAAGTAACCTCTTTTTTTCTAAAGAAGAAAAGAGAACTTAAGAGCACTATAGTCTTGTTTCAACTAAAGTTAGTTGCAAGTAAGGCTACAGTCCTTGAACACATTCACCTATTTGATTAAATACATGTATATTTTACTCCAGAATCAACTTGCATAGGATTTCATTGGAAGCTCCATTTGAAACCATGGGAGTATGATATAGAATACATTTCTCTTAAGTTACTTGAGTTCTTTTGCTTTCACTTTACACAAGACTTTAGCTGGACAATAGCCAGCGTGTATAGGCTGATTCCACCCTGTGGGCTTAAGATGTTTTTCAAGCAGCTGTCATTTAATCACTCTTCAAGGCAGATAACTATTTGATAAATACTTCAATAGTGTCCATTTATGTTTCAAGACAGTTGATGAATTCAAATACCTTGGCTGATCCAGTTCCCTGTTCTTAAAATATATTATTATACTCCTGGTATATGATCAGTGTTTGTTTTGTGTTCTTAGGGAAAAGCAAATGGAATACATGGATTTGGCTAAAACGTATCTAGAATGTGGTGAGCCAAATTTGGCTCTCAAATGTCTGTTTCATGCCAAAGAGTACCAGCTTTCTGCGCAGCTATGTGAAAAATTGGGAAAGGTAAGTAACGATTCTCTTCCTGTTTTTGTTTGGGAAAAAACAACACAAAGTGGTGATGATCTTAATAGCTAGATATGGCATCATTTGAGCTCTTGAGCACCATCCTGCAGGAGGGATAGAATCCATGGAGACCTTTCTGTTTAATTATTTATCATAATATATATAGGTATGGAACAAATCATGCTCAGATTTTGTTTGAAACCAAAAGTCACCATCTTGCTCATGAGTGTGAAACAGATACATTGAACATTCCCCCCCATCATGTTTTCTTCACTTTTCATGGAATGTCTGCACACCGCTATCATCTTTTCCTTTTGTAAACCAACAACACACAAACACAATGAACATGAAAAGACAGGTGACTCACAAAGACTCAAACAACTTGTGTAGATGCACAAAATCACGAATTTCTGTGAAGCTAACAATAAATAAATAAAAATCCGACCACCTCCATAAAGCGTGAATGGAGGCAGCTTCTGACAGGACATGTTCCCCCATGCACCTTTGTGAGTTTCAGGAAACGCTTGTGGGTCCCAAAGTGCACTGGGGTACTTTTCTGACAGTTTGAAGAAGCAATGCAAGAGCATCATGGAAGTAAGAGGGTGGTTCTACCTCCTGCCAGTTTGTGGGCTCCAAGTAAAGTATTTGACCTGAGAAGTTCCCACGAATTATGGACTGGGAGTTCATTAATTCTGACAATCCCATCCCTATAAATCAGGTCAGGATTTGCATTCCTGGAAGCTGAACCCAAAGATTTCAGCAAGTGATGACTGAGAAGAGCTGTTTACACTGTAGCTACTCTCCATAGCAGCTGTTGCTCATTTCATAAACAATTGTTTTTGTCCATATAGTTACTAAGTGGGTATGGTCACAAAGTCAGCGGGTACCTGGTGCCCCAATTACATTTGTGTGTTGTAGGGATTGTAAGTGGTAACATTTATTTTCAGTGAGTTGGGGGGGGGAGACAGATGACACGCTGAAAGTCTACGAGTTACTAAATTTTGTAACTTCTGTCCCAGCCATTGTGCTGTTGGGTATTCTGTTATATTAATTGGAAGCAAGAGGTGTGTGGAGGGCCATATGTCCCCATCCCGGGAGATATATATGTAGATCTTTACAGTGGGGTCTCGACTTACGAACTTAATCTGTATTGGAAGGTGGTTCGTAGGTCGAAAGGTTCGTAGGTCAAATCTGCATTTCCCATAGGAATGCATTGAAAACCATTTAATCTGTATCTGCTCTTTTCCGTCCATAGAAACTAATGGGAAACTAATGGGAAGCTGCTATTCCACCTTCTGCCACTAGAGGGGGATATTTTTTTCTTTTTTTCTTAGGTCAAGAAAAGTTCAGGAAAGGAGGGGGGATGCAGGGAACAGTTTTAAAAGTACTTCTGAAATCTTTTTTTTTCAATGAAGCCAATTTTAAAGCAGGTTTTAAAGCATGTTGTGCTGATTTTTTTCAGCACCAAGACACACAGACAGGCTTTTTAGGTGCTGAGCAAGCTTCCCCAAGCCTCTTCAGAGCCAGCCGATCAGCTGTTAGGCAGGGAGAGGAGGGGGCAGGAGCAAAGAAAAGCACAAAATGGCTGCCAGGCTCCCTGCTGGGTGCCGGCTTTTAGCTGTTTCCTGCTCTTTTTCCTGTAGTTTGGGGGCTACCAAGGCCTGGTAAATGACTTTCTTTGATTTATTTTTAAGTTTCTGCCCCTTTTTTCCCCTCCAGAAGCCTCTAAGGGGAGGGAGGGGGCACTTTTTTCCTGTTCGTAACTCGAGGGAAGTTCGAATGTCGAGTTGTTATTTCCCTATTGGGTGGGTTCGTAAGCTGAAAAGTTCATATGTAGAACCGTTTGTAAGTCGAGACCCCACTGTACTTATCTATAGATATGTCTACATACACATACTGCAAAGACAAGCAAGAAAACTATTTTTCTACTATTAAAGGATTTTACAATGGAAATAATTTGCCATTTGAAGAATATCAAGAAACAGGGCTGGTTCCCATATCTACATGATTTAACTGGTGGATAGCTCAATGGCTTCGGTCTCTGGCTGCGGAGAGGGGCTGGACTTGATGATCCATAGGGCCTCTTCCAGCACTGCAATTCAAAGGTTATTACTCTGTCCTTTGAAATTTTGAAGACTTGCAGCTGAATTCACGAATTGGTTTAGCTCAAGCACATTTTGTCTTTGTTGGCACTGATTTGAAAATTTTGTCTTCATTTGTAATACCCTGTAAACTCAGGCAAATTGTTACTTCATTTAGTCGTCAACAGGAGATGAATATTCTTGTATTACGTTCCCTACTTGTTGGAATTATCATAAGTCTCACTGATTTTCTTTTGACAGTACAGTGGTGCCTCGCATAACGATGTTACTTGGTTCCAATAAAAACATCGTTATGTGAAAACATAGTTAAGCGAAACACCATTTCCCACAGGAATGCATTGAAAACCGGTTGATCTGTTCCAATAGGAGCCTGTTCAATACATTTCAACGGTGAAAAAAAAATCACCAAAAATTCAAAAAGACTCAGAATGAAGCCATATTACTTTAACGAAGGTTTTATTAGGTGCACTAACGAATCCAAGCATTTTAAACATTTTTAAACATTTTAGAATATTTTTAAAATAGCGAAAACAGGGCTGTCAAAAAAAACATTAAGCGAAACAGGGGACCTAAAACTGTCATCGTTAAGTGAAGCAAGGTCCCAAACATCATTATGCGAAAATCACCCATAGGAAACATCGTTAGGTGAGGTGGCAAAATTTCCAGCAAAGGCCATCGTTATGCGAATCCATCGTTGAGTGAGGCACGCGTTAAGCGAAGCACCACTGTAAATGTTTGATATATAGAACTATAATGTATCATTGTAATGCAGGTGAAAGAGGCTGCTTTTTTCTATAAAAGAGGCCAGTGCTACAAGGATGCATACAGATGCTTTGAGCGGATCCAAGAGTTTGATCTAGCAATTAAAATGTGTTGCCAGGAGGAACTGTATGAAGAAGCAGCAAAATCTGTTGAAAGGTCTGTATTTTAAACACATTTCTCACAAAAATAGTCAGCCTTTCTCCTCACCTTCCCTGCATCTCTGTTTCTACTAGTCTTTGAGTTAAATACATGCCACTAACATGTCATCTCTGCATAATCATGGCGGCAATAATATACTGTTTCAGAGGACATTTTCAGGCAATTACAGCAATGCATAAATGTGGCTTGGATAGAGAAGTGCTGGTGCGATTTTTTTCTTTTTATACTACTTTTTTTAAAAAGCACCACTGCAAAATCATTCATGGAGATTATAAATCATGTTACCTCCTACTCTTCCCATGCAGATGATCAGAAAAAGCTAAAGTTAGTTTACTCAGCTTTCAAAAAAAAAAACATTACTCATACAAGGTGGGTGAGGTTTTCTTAAAATCCTGAAATGTGATTGTAGAGAAAATTTACCATTCTTTCTTCTATCTCCTTTTTACTAAGGAACATGAGGACTTGTGTATTTGCAGATATGCAAGAAATAGGTTGATCTAGGTATCTTAAAGTAACAAATGAGCAAGGAATCTGTTTGGGTAGTATGCAGTATCACATTTTTATCTCTTAATGAGATCAAGCTCTCATTTCTAATATCAAATAATTAAGATGTATATGTAGTTAAATTTTTGTTGTTTAGTCGTTACGTTGTGTCCGACTCTTCGTGACCCCATGGACCAGAGCACGCCAGGCCCTCCTGTCTTCCACTGCCTCACGGAGTTGGGTCAAATTCATGTTGGTAGCTTCGATGACACTGTCCAACCATCTCATCCTCTGTTGTCCCCTTGTCCTCTTGCCTTCACACTTTCCCAACGTCAGGGTCTTTTCCAGGTAGTCTTCTCTTCTCATGAGATGGCCAAAGTATTGGAGCCTCAGCTTCAGGATCTGTCCTTCCAGTGAGCACTCAGGGTTGATTGCCCTCAAAATGGATAGGTTTGTTCTCTTTGCAGTCCATAGATATTTTATATTTAGAAGAGAGAGTGGGGAGAGTGCTGATTGATAAATTGGGTGTCTTGATTTGATACAGAAGTGAAAGAAAATCTAAGAAGAATATGTATTGATTTTGGAGTCTGCAGATCGCTTTCACAGTGTGTGCCCCATGGCTTAATGTGATGTAAATGAGCCTATTCTCCTTTTGAGCCTTTGTCTTCCTTCCCTCTTTTGCTCCTAAATGGGAGCAGAGAATTCATTTTTTTTGCTTTTAGCTAGCCACAGCTTGTCTATGTCATCTCTTCTTGGGGATGGGCAGGATGCTCACAGGTCTGCCACTTATTTCTGTTGTGCACATCATAAACTATTGTTTAGCAGAACATGTGCCCCCCTCTGGTTTTCTGCCCCAGATTCATCCCCACCACCAGCAACAACAAATTGTCCCTCTTAGAATAGTACATTCTGATCTCCAGAATGGTTGTTAACAAAACTGGAAGTGGAATGCAGCCATGATATGAATGTACGCATCTGTCAAGATACTGGTAACCACAGAGGGGATCTACTGACCACTGAACCACACTACCCTTACTTTTCTTTGAGTACTTTTCCAGAAAGGTGCAATGCACTGCTGTTTGAGAAAAGCTTCTTGCTGTGATCCTCGCTCAACTCTTCTGAGCCTACTTGCTCCTTCAGTGCCCCAGGGAGTTACCAAAAATCAACAGGTTGCCTGCTTGGGTATGCAAATCAACCCTGTAAGGTAGGACTGCTGCCAAAAGATCCACAAAATACTTAAAATCCCAAGTGCAAGGCACCTTCTTTAGTACAACTAACCACTTCTCTTCCAGAATAACCATATAGCTGAGAATTTGTTATTGTTTTTATTAAATATGTTTTTAAAAGGTATACAAATTCAAGGGAAGGACACGACTAAACGACTAAACACATACAAATTCAAATGTAAATTCAGTGTTTCCAAAAGAATCAAAAAGATGTGAAGAAAATCCATGACAAAAGACAAAGTGTGAAAAGGTTTATTCCTTTAAAGGACAGACAAGTTTAGAATTATTTTTACATAAACTAACTAACCTATACTCATATAACATTAAGGCTGTAGTATAGTTCCAGTACATGTGCAGAACGTGGCACACACCACATTCTCCAAAGAGATGAAACTAAGTAAGCAAAGTTTGGCAGGAGTTTTGAGTGCTCCATTATTTATTTCCCCTTATTTCCTATCATCCCCTGTCTAGATCATTTGAATCTTTTCCAGCAATCACATTCCTCTTTTCTCAGAAGCTTCTGGTAGGGACTGACTTTTGCCAAAGTAACTTGGTTCATCCACCCCTCAGATGACACAAGTTCTTGCAAATAAGGTTCTGTGGGAAGAGCTGGTTTTTGGCCTTCAGAGATAACGTTCCAACAGATGTAGACAGCCTGTTCCTAATCAACAGGGTCTTTCTCACCCCTCCTTACTCTCACACAAGTGCCAGGGACACATTTTCACTTAACAATAGGGATCAATTAACCCTCTTTCTGCCAGATTTCACCAAGACCATCACAACCTCGTATATTCAAGCAAAGGGAAAATGCTGTATTTTCTACTTCTGTTACCTAATATGATATGGGACATCTGATGTACTAGCTGTTGAATCTCATTCTTCACTGACATATTAATGTTTTAGGCCAAAATCCAGGAGAAAAAAAATATCTTGTAAGAACAATCATACAGATTTCTTCTCTGCCAGGCTGTCTCCTGTGTAGTCAGTTGTTTAATTGATCTGCAGTTGTTTATAGTCAGTTGCTTAACCTGATTTTGCAACCAGTGAGGATCTGGCTTAGAACTGCAAATGATGAAACTTATTTTGTTTAAAATTGTAGATATTTTGGCCATAAAAAGGAAGAGTCTCTTTGCTATTTGGCAGCCTTATTATCTTGTTCATTGCCTCAGTAGGTGTTGAATCACAGGTCTGGCTCCATTTCATAACTGACATTTACTAATGTGTTTGTTACAGATATGAGAGAATGCTACAGCAAGAAAAGAACTTACGTTCCAAACTTTCATACACAGCAAATCAATTTTATTTGGAAGCAGCTGCAAAGTATTTGCGTGTGAACAAGACCAGTGATATGATGGTGATGCTCTCTCATCTTGGGACTGAAGATCAGCTCGTGTTCTTGAAAACACATCAACAGTTTTCTGAGGCAGCTAACCTCTTGAAGAAGAATGGCAGAGATGAAGAAGCAGCAAAGCTTATGAAACAGCATGGATTTGTGTTGGAAGCAGCAAAACTCACTAATCAACCGGACTTCCGAGCATCTTGTTTGCTTGCTGCATCCCGCCATAGCATGGCAGGCTCCTATAAGCTGGAGAACTTGAGGGCCATCTTGGAAGAAACCTTAGAGTTGTGTGAACAAACAAACCAATTGGCTGGCAGTGCAGAGGCAACTTATATGATGGGCATTCTGGAGAAAGACTTCCAAACATTGGAGAAGGCCTTTCATATGTTTCTGGATGTGAATCACAATGCTTGTGCAGTAGAGGCTGTATTTCAGTCAATCCATTGTGAAGGACCAAGTGAGGCCATCCTGAGATTAGCATCACATGGCATTGAGGCACTTCTGAACCTGGTCAAAGCATTCCAAAAAGCTGACACTAATGCTGAAAGAGAAATGGTGAAGTCATGTTTTGAATACTTTGGGATTGTGCCAATAGACAAGAAGATTTGCCAGGTTACCCAGAATGAAGCAGGATGCAGTCTAGAGGCTTTCTCTGAAATGTTTAATCTGAGAGAGAAGAAAATAAGTGATCAGTTCCGTGAAAACTTGGAAGATGTGAAAACTATGCTGAATAAGCATTTATTGAGACGGCTTACTGCCATTGCTCGCTGTTTATTTGAACTGAGGCCCCCTAGTATTTGTACAAAGTTCATTGCAGGCTTGAAATGTGAAGACAATGCCTGTGAAGACTTTCATAGGGTTTTATTATATTCTGAGATTAAATCGGTATTTCATTGTAAAATATACCTTGCTGCAATAAATAGGCTATTGTTAGAAGCCAAGCAAATGTTCTCAAGAGATTTGTTTCATGAGGCCAGTGCCATTGATGAACTATTGACGGCTGATAAGTATGCATTATGCAAATCCCTTATAAATGCCATCTTTCCTAAACATTTCCATCTGAGAATGATCTCTGAAAACCCTGTGGCATGCAAAAACATTCTGACTCTTCGTAGTGGCTCTAGAATTTCTAATTCTTGTAAGATGGTGCTGAGGGAATATATCAGATCTGAGTTTAAAAATGAGACAGTCCGCAACAGAAGGGAGTCTACGGACTTGTGGCTGAAGACCATGCAGGTCCTCATGTTAATTTCTTATCCTGAAGAGTTTGAGAGGCTTCTTATCAGAGAAGAAGATGAATATGATAGAGAATTAAAACTGGCAGAAGAAAGGATGAGAGGAAGACACAAAGGTGTAGAAGGCAAATATGGTATGTTGATGCCAGACAAATCTGGAAGTGCTGAAAGCATTCACTTGTGTTTCATTCGACTCTTGCAGAATTCCATGGACCAGCTCTACAATTACCGAAATCCGGAACAGTGTAAGCACCTGTTCTTCCGTTTCATGAATGTCTTGGTGAAGAAATGTGTGGATCCTTTGGTTCCTAGTATAGGAAACACAGTGACTTTGCTGGAATTCCAATTCCTTGTGGGTTGTGCTGTGCTCATGCGCCTCTGCAAAAACATGACACTTTGTCTTCCCAAGAGCTACATTGCCCTCTTCCATTACTGGGATTTTTTATTCACAGGGGGAGTCCGACACAAAGATATATTTTCCATCATACAGGAGTATAAACCAGAGAACACAAAACGAGCCATACAAGAGTTCAAATTTCACCTGATGTATTTAGCTGATGTTTTGTGTAGGTATGAAAATTTCAATGTACTCTTGGACGCTTTTAACGACCTCGATTCCATCACGTCTGGGGAAGCGGAACGTACTGTGGTGCTTTGTTTAGTGATGTTAGTGAATGCTGATCAGGTGCTCAAGTGTAACTATAAAGGGATTTTAATGGAACATTTTCCCTCCCTCAGGGAAACCATGATTAAAATGAAGAGGGAGTACCCTTCCAAAGTGCCTGAAAGATTGTTTAAGATGGTGGATCTGGTGAGCAGGGCTGCTGACATGAAAGAAGTTGTTGCAGGCCTGAAGGACTTGCTGTATTGCCGTGATGAAGAATTCTTAGCTGACTGTTCTTGGAGGTGGGATCACAGAGGAGCACGGGGTACCAGGTTTGAGGGTAACAAAGAGATCAGAGGAATCTATTTCAAGATTACAGATTTGAACCGATTTTCCTATCAGGCAGAATATTTTGATGAGCCAGAAGCAGAATTTGAACATGACATGTATGTTGAAGAAAGAGAAGATCCCCTTGCCAGCATTGCATCGGTGCGGCAGCAAAAGCAACAGCAAAAAGCTTTTGCTAGGCGGAAATTGCGGGGCCTCTTCCTGTTTGTCTTCTGTTGTGTTAGATGGAAAAGAATATCCAGTTCAAAACCAGAGCCTCTGGAAATGGCATCAAGAGTCTTTAAAAAAGCAGATATTGACAGAACCCAGTGTGACCTCTGTGGAGTCAAGTTTCTCCAGAGTTCTTCAAGCTTTATTCCACGGGCGGAACACTCTGAAAAAGAGCCCCCAGAACCGACAACACCAACAGAGGTTGATTGGGAAGAGGTTGTGGAAAGAAATGAAAACTTTGTTGCAGGTGAAACATTTGAAAGTCACATTAGATTGGGTGAACATGCAAACAAGTACAATGCTTACCGGAAATATTTTGAATATTTTGGAAACAAAGTTGAACCCTTAATAAACAATGGGATCGATGTTTTGGAAAGGATTGCAGATGTAACACGTGCCAAAAATCACTTTACCGTCAAAGAAGAAGAAAAGCTAGTACGAAGAAGGATCGAGGAGGACATTAATTGTATTTCTGATATGGTAGAAGACCTCTACAAGAGGAAGGCGTGGGCTGATGGTAAGACATTCTAGTTATTTCTGGGTCTCAGCTCAGATGTCAGAAATTGCTTCTTTGTAGTTACGAAGTTCTGCAAATGAAATTTAAGAGTCTTCAAACCTTCTCACAACTGTGTGTGGATGCCGTTTTACACAATCCACTGGAAAGGTTTGAATTGGATTTTAAATGCATAAAACAAGTATAGCTATGTTAGATCATTTAATTTCTGTCTGCTCCAGCATTTGGTTCACACAGTGACCACTGTGATGCCTTATGGGAAGCCCATAGTGAGGGCAAGAGCTTGGCACTCTCCTGCTCATGTTCCCTGGGAACCAGTATATTCTTAGATATTGTGTGGTGGCAGCTGGGCTTCTTGGTGGAAGGGGTGGGGAGAATACTGGTGACACAACCAGTTCATATCTTCCTGTGACAGTAGAGATATATATATAATCATCACAACCAGTAGCCATTGATGGCCTTATTGTCTAATCCAGGGCCTGCAAGTTTTCTAAACAGGTAACAGAACCAAACCATACAGATTGTTGCTCCCGTATCCAAACAAATTCAGTGGTTTTCCACAGCCCTGTCATGAATATTCATTGTTTTAAAAATATCTTGATAAAGTTCTTTATGTAACTGCCAAATAAGTTGTAATTCCTTGTCCTATCTATTGCCAGCATAATTTTAAATCTGAGGTCCTCACAATGGCGCTGTGGGATGCAGGTGCACCCATGGAGGCCCACTGTGGCGTCTGCACAAGGACCCAAGATTGTGGGGCTCAAATCTTGCCTGGGCAAGGTCTCAGTACTCCTGGCTCTTATTTCTTTGCCTATCTATTTCAGGTGTCATCTTCACTCTGTTTTCTTCTGGTTGGACCTCTCAGTTCTTATGCCAGCTAGAGAAAGGAGAGAGAAAGGGCTAGGGTCAGTGGCTGTGATTCTGGGTGCAAGATATGCAGATGACAGGAAGTGGTCAGGGGAGAAATCCCCATATAGGTTGGCAAGCAGGCCTAAGTGAAGTGGCTGGGAGTGAAAGGAGTCGTCCAGTGAGAGGTAGTTCCAAGGGAGGGAGGAATGCTGGCCAGAACAGGGAGAATACTGAGCTGTATCTAGCTCACGTATGGGCTCCTAGGAGAGCTTTTAAGGGGCTTTGATTATCAACACTTCACATCACATCTCTATTCTGATACAGTGCACAGCCAAGCCTTGAAACATGGTAGTAGGTAGGGGTGGTGCTCCAGGAGGAGGGAGTGTGGCTGATAGGTTAGAATGGAGAGTTGTAGAGTATCTGTAGACCTGCTAGACTGTAAAGTCAAACTAGCCAATACACTGAGCGTGGCTGATAGGTTAGAATGGAGAGTTGTAAAGTACATTTTTAGAATAGGTGTCCCTTCAAGTGGTGAAATATGTCTTCCATAGCGTAATTTTTCCTCATCTACATGTCTTGTGGTTATATGTTATTTTTATTATTTATTAATTTAATGTACTGTACATCCTGCCTTTCTCTGCAGTTCATTCAGTTGCTAAAAACCTACCTGAAGAAAAGGGTCTTTGCTGGTAGAAGCAGCAGAATGGGGATCTTTTATGGAAGAGAATTCCACATCAGGGGTGCAGCCACTGAGAAGACCCTGTCTTGCATTCTTTTTTATTGGAGCTGTGAGGGTGCTGAGACTGACAGATGGTTCCCCCAAAGATCATAAAACCCAGGAGGCTCCTAATGGGGAGATATGATCCGTCAGATAGCCTGGGCCCAAGTCATATAGAAGTTTATAATTGTAATGAGCACTTTAAACCAGACCTGAAAACAAACTTATAGCCAGTAAAATGTCAGCGACTTGGTGATTGTACAAAGCGTTGAATGTACAAATGGAGTGAAAAAGCTTGTGGATCCCGTTCTAACAATGTATTAATTTACATTAAATTCTAGCTGAAGAGACCATGTCCAGGTTGGCTGACCATTTGAAATCTCATGTAGACAATGCTATGAGCTGGCTAGAAAAAGCACAGTCCTCCCTGCTAAAGGAGGAAGGTATGTTTTATAGTTTTATATTAATCTGGATATAGCAAGTCACTTAACATGATACTATGTCTGAGGAAGCAGACGGCTTGATTGTTTAGAACTATACTGTAGTTTGTAAGAGCAGCAGCAAAGTGCCTGGCAAGCATTTAACTTTTAGTTAGGGGTGGTGGGTTCATTATGAGAGGCCTGCTGCTTATCTAGCCTTGATGTTGTGGCAAAAGAAGTCTTCTATCCCACAATTCATCCTGTTTGGTCAGCTGCTAAACGAGGAATGGGTAATTTCCAAAGGCCCAGGGGCTGTGCGTGACCCCCCCAAAAAGGAGTTCTTTTGGGGGGGGGGAATGACAGGAAAAAGGCTTCCCCATGGGGGGAGTATAGCCAAATTGCCCCCAAGTGCCCTTTTGTGTAAATAAAATAAAATAAAATTGGAATGTCTGGGGCATTGGGCTGCTTAAGGACTTGAAAGGAAACAATTTGCCCATGTCTATACTGAAGGCACATATTATATATTTGTTCCTATGTGTGAACAGAAGCAGAGGCTCAGAGAATCTCCTGAGCAAAATGAAGGAAGTTTTTCAGCATCGTGTCTATAACTGCACAATTCATGAACCATCACATCAGGAATACAGATACTCTGTACATATGGAAAAGATGGCTGGCCTTGTGTACCTTTCAGAGCTATGTAGAAAGAATCTCAGCTCCATAGCTCTTAATAATGTAGGATTCTCTGTATTTGGTGCTTTTAGACAAGATGACTTGCAGTGGTTGACACTATGAGAATCTAACTATTCTAAGTCTTGATAACTATGTGAAAAGTATGTCTGTTTGAGACCAGTAACATTTTTCTCCTGGATGGGACAACAAATTAATAAGTAGCTTTGCTTGTGTATTGGTGCATGTTGTGTTGGTCTTGCTATTTGCATAGTTTCTTCCCCTTTTTTCTTTAAATACTAGAGTTTGACATTGACAAAGACTTGGACAGTGAAGTAAAAGATGAAGAGAGAACCTTTGAAGAACTGTACCACAAAAAGCCAAGAAAGAAGGGAAAAAGTAAAAGAAAATAATTTTTAAATACTGATGTTTGCTTTTAAGCTGGCTTGAGATCTGCTTTATTTGCCTTTTTAAAGTGCCACTGGACTGTAATAATATGTACAAAAAGCTAAAATGTGATACTACACCAGAAAATTTTTTAACTCCTGGGAGTAATTTGGATAGAAAATTAGCAATCAATTAGCCTACAGTTATTGGTGTCTGCTCTCTCCCCCCCCCCCCCCGCGTTCTTTGTTGGGGTAAGGCCGGTATTCTGAGAAAGTGTATTCTGGATGCAATCAGTTCCTCAACAACAAAACGTTCCAGAACAGTGTATTTGGTTGGGAGCCTCGAGTATCTGCTAGAAATTTAGAGCAGGCGGGAGAAGGGAAACGTAACCTTCCAGCCCCCACCTGTCCTGCGTGTCTGATGTATTATGAGGAAAGCAAACCCTTTCCTTTTGCTTTTCAGCATAGATTGGATCCTCCTTCTAGTATTTTGCAGCTTCTTGCTGGACATCTAGGTTTGTACTCGTCTGCATCAAATGTGTACCTTTAAGAGCCAAAGTAACTCGAAGAGGGGAATACAGTAAATAATACACCTACTGTACTCGTTTTATTTTCTTTGCTTTCCATTCTCCACTTAAAAACAGTCTTAAGGTCTTAACTACTAGCTGTGCTAGATCTGTGTACAACAGAAAGTGGGGTTTCATATTTCACAAAAATGTTATTTTTTAGGATATTGATAAAAGTAGCTTATGCAAATAAATAGCCACTGTGAATTCCTGGACTCTGTTGCCTCCCCTCCCCTAAATTCTTTCAGAAAAGGGAAATATTGAATATGCATATTTTTGTAATTTTTTTGAGATTAACTTCTTCTGTCAAAAAATACATTTCTTTGATGTTTCAATGTGGTTTATATACATTTTAAAAGAAAATAATTTTATATTTACTGGATTTCTGAAGAATAAAGTATGGAAGTGCATTATTTTCAAAAGAAAAGTAAAGAAGTGCCATTGATTTTATAGCTTGTTCTTACATTTTGGAAGATGAAGTAAAACTATTTTTGAAATCAGTAGTCTGTAGAATCATTTTTTCTAGCACACATGGGGTACTGGCAGCCTGAAGATCCCAGGTGGCCATTGGCCATGCTTTGGGTGGTCTTTTGAGCCTCGGAGTGTTCCATCCTCCTTCCATGCCCCCCCCCAACTGGTCAGGCATAAGTAAAGGAGGCTGGGACGCAGATCATTGGGAGGAAGAGGACTTTAGAACTCACCATGTCTTTGATGCTGAGATTTGGGTGGACAGAGGAGAGTGTATGCACATGTGCAACATGTGGCTGTACTGACTGCATGGCCTGTATGGACAAAAATGATGTCTGCTGCCGTTCTACAGATTTATGTAACAACTGTGCTCAGATCCAGAGTCATAATAGAAGCTCAGCTCAACTGTATGTCACAAATCCGGAAAAGTAACACCCAAGAGATCACCAGTTTGGTTAATGAGCACAGAATCAGGAAGCTGTTAAAAGAAAATAATTATTCCTTCAGAAAAAGGAACACTTACCCAAACAAAGAGATCAAAAAGGAGGGAAATTTACACAAAGAAAATGCAAGCAGAGAGTGAGAGATTCAGAAGAAGAAAGGGGTAGGTAGGCAAGTGGGTGAGGAACAAACTGTGAGGAGGAAGTAGCAGGAACATCAAAGAGTGAGCCGTCCCCTCAACCTCCCGAGATAGAGCAAGTGATAAAGCCTGAAAGAGAGTTAGGAGCAAGACCAAAGGAAAGGCAGATGGCAGACGCGCGCGCGAAGGAGGAGGAAAGGACCCGCGAGGCTGAGATAGGAGAGGGAAAAGGAGGGGAAAGGCGCGAGGAGGAAAAACGGAAGAAACGGTCGGAGACATCAGTTGAGAGTGAGGAGGGAGCTTGGAACCGCGGCAGGGAGAGTGTAGACGTGTTTTTGACGACGGAAGAAGGAAATAAGTTAAAGGAGACACAGAAAGTAACCGTGATAGAGGAAAAAGTGACTGAAGAACCAGACGATGATGTGAGAGTGTTCTCAGTCCCACAGAAAAGGCTAGCCGAGGGCAACATAGACGAAGAGTATAAAGATTCAGCGAAAGGAAAGTTCAAACCCATAATACCTGGCCTTAGCCCGGAAGAATGGACAGTCCTGGTGTATCACAGGGCTCAAGGTCCAGAGGAGATGGTACATCAATTAGATCCGGAAGTAGAGAAAGAGCTGTCGAAAGAGGGGGATTGGGCCCGCCACCCTTGTTGCGAGACCCTCTGTGCGGTTCGCAACGGATTTCTGAGAATGCCAACCGAGAAAGAGAAAAGTGCGAAAACTTACTATTAAAAGAGTTTCCTGTTGATAAATCATTAGCATGGTTTTGGGATGATTCCCCACCTCATTTGATGTTACAAAACCCAGTTACTGTTCAAGAAAAGGTTGACTCAAGATGTGTTAATAAAAGTTCTTTATTTCTTAATTCTGAAGCCTCTTTCATCCTTCCTGATGTAGAGTTACATAAGTCTGCAGATGAACCCCCCCACACAAACAAAAAAGGAAAGGGTAGGTAGGCAAGTGGGTGAGGAACAAACAAAAAAGGAAAGGAAAAAAAAAGAAAGGAAAAATCAAGATCAGCAGGGCAAGCATGTTTGAAATGCATCAGAAGGAAAAAAAAAGAAAGGAAAAATCAAGATCAGCAGAGCAAGCATGTTTGAAATGCATCAGAAGCAAAAAACTGCCTAGCCAGGAAATTGGAACTTTGGATGATGGGCAGTTAAATGAGTACTAAGAGATGGTAAGATGATTGCCGTTAATTTGTGTGTGTCTTTGTCTGTGCTACAGAAGATGTAGAATAGATATATACTCATGGACAAACACAGGAAGTGGCAAACATAACCAGTTTTCAGAAAGGGTTTGGAGAAGTGGAGATTCAGGAATTAGGTCCCTTCTGGCTCTGCAGTTCTAAGATGATGATGATGATGAGCATAACATATATTCTTTGTTATATTCAGTTATGAAAGATAATTTTTAAAATGAAGTGTGTAGAATGAGACACCTTTTGGGGGGGGAAAGACTTTCAAATAAAGTACACACATCTCTACAGTGTTTTAGAAGAAAAAAGGATATAATAAGAGATCTATACATTTATGTGTAGGAGAAAAGGGAGAAATGCATCCTTGCAGTGATCAAATTTCAGGTTCTAGCAATGAACCTAAAGGGAGGTTCAGGAAAGATGAAAGAATATACTTACTACTTGTTGAGCGTACCTCAAGATATAGAGGTAACTGATTTTAAAAGTTTTCAACTCTTGAGGGCTATGATGCCTACTGTATTTCCTTCCTCAGAAGATCTTCCTTGCTGTGAATACCAGTTCCTAGAGAATGGTAGCAAAGGAGGGCTAGTGGCCACGTGCTCTGTGGACTTCTTTTGGCATCCAGTTGTACAGAATACTGACTAGATAGGTCTTTGGTCTAATCCAGCAGGGTTTGGGCATTACAAAGATTTTTTTCATGGACTAGATGAACTCAGGATCCCTTCCAACGCCATATTCTAGGGATCAGCAGCTTGGCTGTGCACCCATATTTTAAAAATCCCTTATTATTTTTCTTTATGTAAAAAGGGCCCCCGTGTCGTGGCAACCAAGTATTAACCCCAAAAGATTAGAGGGAAATGTTGGGCTCCAAGGCTGTTGGTGCTGCCAAAAATCTTGCACAATTACATCTAGCTTACAAGGAACATTTAAGAGTAATTTTCCAAAGTTTTGGGGTGGATGGGTAGGATGCTGCTGCATTTGAGCCCACACTTTGACCATCTCTATCATATTTTGTGCTTGGATTTGGAAGTGCAACATCACAGAGATGGCCATCCAGACACTGAAGATATCTTCAGTGATGGAGGGCCCGTCTGTTCTCAAACAGTTCATAGTGTTAGGAAGTTTCCTCTCTTATTTAGGTCAAATCTGTTCCCTTACCATTTTTAGTCACAGCTTTGCTTTTTGCAGTAGCAAGGAATAAGTCATCACTATCTTCTATATGACAGCTATTTGAATATGTGACTGATCACATAATGATCCTATTAAGTTGACCTTTTTTAGAGAGATGGGGAGAATGCACTGTAATACCTTGCACAGAAAAGAGAGGGAGAGGGACTTTTGTGAATAACTTACTAGTAGAAGACAGCAACAGATGTTCCAGTTACCTGTTGAAGACCATGCTGCAGGCAGGAATCCCTCTATGAGCAGAAATGACTTAGATGATCAAAACAACATGAAGCAGACTATGAAAAAGACCAAGTCTAATGTTAACCCTCTAGAAATGAACTCTGGATAATGAACTGTTGATTATGATTATGATTTACAGTGATGCCTCGCTTAACGATGTTAATTGGTTCAAAAAAATCGCTATGGGAAAACATTGTTAAGCGAAATGCGTTTTCCCATAGAGATGCATTGAAAACCGGTTAATCCATTCCAATAGGCACGGATTGCCGTCCTTAAGCGAAAAAACCCATAGGAAACATCGTTAAGCGATACAATGTTTCCTCCATTAGAATGCATTGACGCCTATTCAATGCATTTCAATGGTTTTGCTATGTCCATTTTTGCAAATTTAAGAGTGTCTTAAAAGGTTCAAAAACTGTTTTAAATGCTTGGAATCGTTAGTGCACCTTCTAAAACGGGTGCAAACTTAATTTGGCTTTGATCTGACTTTTCGTTAATTTTTGCTGAATTTTTTTCCCCCACCAACTTTTGACAGCTGTCAAAATTTGACAGCTCCATGCTTTCCTATGGGGGAGACATCACAAAAACATCGCTAAACGAGGCAATCGTTAAGCGAGGCACCACTGTAATTGAAGGTATAAGTAAGTGCGTAAAGGGCTTGAGGAAGTAGGATTGTTAAAATGGTGAAAACAGCTTATTATAGGCCCACTAGTTACCCAGAATGTTGTATGCTATTACTGTATTGCCAACCAATTTCATCTGCCTCAGAAAAGCAGTGTATGCTAGCTAATAATTTAATTATCTCACATTATTTTATTATGTTTACAATTCTCTTTTTGTCGACTCATTTACTGACTCCTTTTCTTTCTTAGTTGCACTATATTGCTCCTTTGGCCTTTTGTTTCTGTTCATGGGTTGTTGTTTTTTGGCAAAGATACTGGAGAGGCTTGCCAGTTCCTGCTCCAGGTGGATTGTGTTTAGTCAGAACTATCCACTATGACCTGTCCTCCT